GACTTGTGGGCTTGGGCAGTATTAGGTTGGGATGTTTTCGTGATGCACATTTTCTTTACATAAAACTCTCTCTTATCCATGAGTTGCTGTGGATTTGTTTCTCCAAAGTACCCAGACTAATACAGAGGATCTCTCAAAGCCATGCCTGGGGCGACCACCTCTCCCAGCAGGTCCGAGGCTGAGCCGGAGTTGCAGAGTACACACGCAGACTCATGGCGACCGTCCTGTATGTCTGAGGCGGGCCACAACGGCCCCCGGGGCTGCCCTTCTGCCAGAAGGACATGACAGGGCTTTCTTCCGAGGGGCCTTGGCGTGCATTCAAGCCGCCAGCCTTTCAGTTAGGAGCTGGGCACACAACCCTTTGTGCCCCTCAGGGACTCCACACATCAAAGTACAACCCCCATCCAGTTGGCTGTGACTTGTACTGACCCTCTGGGACGGAGCAGAAATACTCCACAGGGCTCCCAAGGTGGTCAATCTTTCCAAAAGTAGACAGCCTCACCCTTCTCCTGCAGAACGGCTGGTGATTTCAAACGGCTGACCTTGTGGTTAGCAGCCCCACACCTGGCCTGCTGGATCTCCGGGGCTGCTGCGACACACTGTGGGCTCCACAAGCCTGCCTTTCTAAGGAGGCAGCACAGAACACCCGTGCTGGGAGCCAGGGGCTCTGGGTACCCACCCTGGCTCTGCCACTGACCTGCTGCGTGCCCTTGGTCAAGATACTTGCCCTCTCCAGAAACCTCATCCGGACCTCCTTTCCCACCTGTGGTCCTCAGGACACCTGTGCCCGCCCTCCCATCCGCCCCTCCCACAAAGCTCCCACTCTGCCTTCAGGGCGCAGCTGAGGAATCGCTCCTGCTGCACAAGGTCCCAAGGAGAAGGAACCAAGTGGGAGACTGGGCGGTGGGTAGGTGGGTGGGTGGGGCAAGTCAATACATCACCAAAACTCAAAACCACACTCTCAGCGAGCCTACAGGGCAGGACAGAACGGCCTTTGGGTTTCCGAGACGAACTCTCCATGGGAGTAGAAAGTCTTTCTCCCATAAATCACCAACCACCCCTAAAGCACGGACCATCCCTCAACCTGGGGGTCCCGACCCCTTCAGGGGTCACCTAAGACCGTATTTCCGATGGTTTTAGGAACCAAGACAGCGCTCCTCTCTTTGCCTCCAGGCAGGCCCGCCCGCCTACAGGGTCCCCACCACACGAAGAACTGTGTCCAAGGGTCTCGGGATGAGGAAGGTTGAGAGGCACTGCCTACACGGCAACAGCAACCCTCAGCCAGGCTCTCTAGGTGTGGACCGCATCCTCGGCAAGAACAGCACAGGAGGGGCAGCTGCTGGGAAGAGGGGCCAGTGCCGGTTTCTGAGTACCAGCCTGCCCTCAGGATCCCGGGAAGACACCCCCTAGTCAAGTGATCACATCAAACATCGCCCAGAATGGCACAGGCAGCCCCTGTACCCCCCTGGCTGTGCTGAACTGAGAACGACGTGAGTCACCTGTGCTGGACCCCAGGGCTGCTCCACCCCAATCCAGGCAGCAGTTACACTCACTGCCACCGAGTCGATGCCAGCTCCTAGTGGCCTGGAGGGCTCAGTGGAAGAGCCCCTGTGAGTTTCTGAGACTAACTGTTTACGGAGTAGAAAGTCCTGTCTTTCTCCCTGGGAGCGGTTGGTGGTTTCAAACTTCGGACCTTGCGGTTATGCAGGTCAC